TATATGCATTCTATAGTATTTTTGCTCAATAAAAATTCATTTAAAACCCTAAGTGATATAACGCGACATTGAATGTATCTTTCGTTTCACGTTTTCGATGATCGTTTCAAGTTACGTACATTGTTTTATACCCTATATTACACACATTTACACATAAATATGATGCTCATGCAGTGTTTTAGCAAAAGACTGCAATGAATATTCTCTTTATATATTTCTCATGTCTCCATGCCAATGGATTTTTCATTTTTTGTTCTCTATACTCCATAGTTTATCATAAATTTTCTTGTGTGAAAGAATTATAAGAAAACCATCATATTGCATTTAGATTTTAGAGATTCATGTAGCCTCTCCAAAAATAAAAAGCGAGAAGAGTGATCTTGGAGAGAGGAAAAGACAGAGAGTGGTTTAAAGTCTATTGGAGCTTTTTTATTTCTAAATTTTGTGATAAAGAACCATGCAGAGTGTCTACTGTGGATGCTCTAAGCCTGATTATTAGTGAAGGCTATTGCTGAAAACTCTTTGATTCTCTCATCTTTTCTCTCTCCGGAGTGTCATTGCCGGTAATTTCACAGAACAAATGAACGCATGCCGGAGAAATACTCCTTTTAACCCCTCCACAATTCATAAAGTTTGGTTTTTCTCCCTCATATATAAAACCGGATTTTGATCCCCCCCTAAACTTCTAAAACCGTTCGTTAGCTATTCTTATCGTCACAAACAATGGTGGCCATCCGTTTCCCCAAGAACCCCATGATATACCTGAATGGTCCAAACATAGGTTGGATCAGATAGGACCACACATGTCTCCTTGAATGCGTTTAAGGAACTTGAGCAGTTCAATTTAAATTTTGAGGTAAGAGAGCCCCAATGAAAGATTGGAAAATTTGTCATCACTTGAGTGTGACCAACATAATTGCTCATAGTTTTCCTCGCCATCTCTATGCCAGGACAGGAAAGGCGATCATGCCAAGTTTGGAATGCATTCACATTCTGAAAATTTGATGTATGTATAGTACAATCTATACTGTAGTGAGGGAACTTTTTCAACTATCTCTTTGCCATATCTATTGTATTTTGTAATGAGAAGGAACTTCTTCTTATTGTCCTCCTAAGTTTCAACATGAAACTCATTTTTTCGAATCTCTCTAAAAACTCAATAAGGTACATGTTGAATCGGGTACAAAAGTGCATCCTCAACTGTTATCAAGTATCCACAGGGAGCATGATAGTAGCCTGACGAGAGCTAACTATCATAGCATCACGTTCATGTTCAGTGATTGTTAAACATTTTCTTAGCTCTTTGGAGAGTATAAAAATATTTTATTTCCCTGAGTATAGAGTTAGTGGTACAATTGTCCACTAGGTCATTTCTTCCTCTATTGGATCAACTCTTGTACAATTTATATAAAATGGAGAATTGAACATGTAATATTCAACAAATATATATAGATACAACTTACAATAGCAAATGTGCTTGGTAAAATAAAGTAAGAACAACAATTATCCTTATTACAACACATAGGGCATAATCATAACAAAGTATCTTAAAGATTAGGAGCCTAGTTAAAATCTCCAAATATATTGTCCCAAGTGTATTCCACGATCATGTTCTCTGTGTTGTCAAATTTCCCATCAAGTTGTTGGTGTGGTGACATTAACAATGACAACGTCCATCAACACGCATCCACAAACCCCCGTCGTTCGCCGAGAAGGTTGTGAAGAGAGCTAAGCAGTTCCGCTTGAATCTAGAGATCTCCAAAAGGAAAACCAATGTGGAGGACAAGGTGATGGGCCATGAAGACAAAGTTAAGGGTTAGAGATGCCGGTGGTACATAGCATAGGGGTGGGATTGTACCTTGTCTATCTCAATCTTCTACTTGTTCTTATTGAGCTGTTTGTCTTCCATTTCCAAGAGAACAGGAGAGAGCGCTCATACTGATAACATGTTAAGTGTGATGCGTAAATGACATGGTAGAACGAATGGCAAAAAAGAGCCAACCACTTTCTTATTTATTAATCTTTGATGTGCTTTATATACATGTTGTATGGACCCCATGGACGTGCGCAAAGGAAATGCCCATGGTGTCGTTGGATTGTGGAAGACGAAGGCGGGAGAGAAGGAACTGTTGTGAAGTTAAGAACATCTACAACTCTATGTATAACCAGTGGCGGAGGATTGTTGAGACCAATAGAGGCCATGGCTATCTTTGGTTATGTTTATTTAGAGTGATAGTGTTTATTGGGAAGTAGATGATGAAAATCTACGTAGAAGACCACTAGTATGTTTTGGCATATTTTAATATATTGTTTTAGATAGTTATCTAAGAGCATAGCAAAACTTATGTATCTAGTCTAGCTAGAAAAAGGCCCAAACAATTTATAATCGAAATAGAGATTGTAGAACAGAAAATAATATACATGTTTGGTGTTTCAACACCAGTGTTAGTGGTTATTTTGGGAAAGCTCCTTCGCTCAATCAAACTCAAACGTACTTCTAAATTCTAATAATCCATTCGGTCAGCTTGTCCCCCAGATGGGAGTGAGCTCAGGTGCGAGTTTAAGATGTAGCGGCTATGGAAGGTGCTTGTCGACTTACTGGGCCGGACCGAGTTCGTCCTCTTCCTTGCGCCGTCAAGCAATGCCAAGCGTCCACGCACGGAAGCTCGCCGCCGACGGGAGTTCATGACCCAAGTGGGCGCGCTGCTCATCCACGCCAAAGATCCCGAGCGCCTCTTCCTCTTTTCTAAGACCAATGTCATTGAAGGGTTCTATCCTCCGAATGCGACCAAATCTCTTTTGCATCTTAGGTGGTGTTTGGTTGTCTCTCCTAAATTTTAGTCGATGTCCTATCGAATGTTTAGACACATGTATGTAGTATTAAATATAGACTAATTACGAAACTAATTGCATAGTTTGTGACTAATTTGCGAGACGAATCTTTTAAGTCTAATTAGTCCATGATTTGACAATGTGGTACTACGGTAAACATGTGCTAATGACGGATTAATTAGGCTTAAAAAATCATCTCATGGAGTACCGACGGATTATGTAATTTGTTTTTTTTATTAGTATCCGAACACCTCATGCAACATCTTCCCGACACATCTTCTAAATTTTAATCACCGGATCCAAACACCACCTTAGTCCTAATCTTTACTACTAGGACGCATTTATAGCTGCTAATTCATATCATCGCTGGATCGTTTATGTGAGAGAAAAATACTACTAGTTGGTTTATACCATATGAGCGGGCTGGCTAGCCCAGCCAGCCAGTCCAGCCGAACAGGCGTGCAACGAGGGAGGTATGTGCTATATGTACGAAAGCTGGAGCAGAGGATCCGGAGAGGACAAGGGATAAATGGTTGAGAAGACTCTAGATAAAAAAGTTGCCTTGTACAAGATAGTTTCTCGACACAGTAGAAAGCTAGGGACCAGAATCCAGTAGCTCTGGACCAGAACTCCAGAGAAAACTACAGAGTCGTCAGAAATTAGATAAGGTTTTTTTAGCAAATTTTGCTGTGAGACAGTAGAAAAACATATAGTTGGTCAGTTCACACCGTAAACTCTCGAATTTACTAGGCCATTATAAATTCGTGGTTCTTTATTAAGACATACCGTGTTGATTATTTTATTCATTTCTATTTCACGTGAGATAAGTTTGGGAAAAATGTCTTTTCGCCGTTCTCTTCAACCTCCGGCCCTTCGCTTATTATTTGCCGCAAACACACTGCCGCCGCCAATTTGGTGGTTCGCGAGATCCTGACTTTGCCGCCCGGGCCCGTCTCCTCCTCTGATCTACTCCTCCGGCGAGCTCCCGTGCTGGCCATGCCTGGGCCTGCTCGGCCCGCGCCCTCTCCAGGCCCAACCCTAGCTCGGCGGCGGCGGAGGTCCCCTCACCGTCCACTGCGGATCTCGCCGTCCGGGCCCTTCTTCCGACCGAGCAGGACCCGCGCCGCCTGGTTTTCAGCCCGTGACGCACGCGTGCAACACCATGGCCGCACCGGTCTTCTCCCTACGAGGAACTGCACGTCCCCGTGGCCTGTACGCGCCACGCTGCCATATCCCGGCACTCCGCCGCTCTGAACGCGCCGCTCGCTGCCTCCCCATCATCCGGAGCACCGTCATCGGGTTCACGTGGAGGTGAGAATCACGTCAAGAAGCGTCGCACCACTTTTATCTCTCCCTTGTTTGCTCTGCTCGGCCAAAGAAGCCGCCGTTGCCATTTTTCCGCCGGCAAGAACCACCTGTACGGACTCGACATTGCTCTGCGGTGTCCAAGAACCACTCCGCATCCGTCCTCATGGACCCAGCCTGGGATCCCCTACCGGAAGGCGGAAACAGAGGGAGAACCAATGGTCTAGGCGGGGGGCGGGTGGTCGGAGGAAGAACCACGAATTTGTAATCGTACCTAGGAAATTCCGCCGTTTGCGGTATAAACTGGCCAATTATACGTTTCTCTGGTGTCTACAGCAAAATTTGCCTTTTTTTGGACAAAAGATATTAAAGATATTAGATAAGTTAAGGGTGGCAGACTGAGGCGCCTGAACAAGGAAAGAACGACTTGGTTTTGTATTATAATCAGCTTCCGATTTCCCATCCTGCCATCGACTCGTATAAATAATGAACAGTAAATAGAAGACAGCTTGGCTCACCTACCGAGGTCATTCGCTAATCAGTTCGTTATATATTACAAAGATGGTAAACTAACTTAGCGAGACTAACGAGAAAAACAGCAACACCATTTCTCACATTGTATATTCTTTTTTTACATAAATCCGTCCACCAGATGCAGATCTCATTTGCATTACCACCGTATGGACAGTGACTTCATAATTGATAGCTGAGGATCAAAATTGATTTGGTTGGCTGGTTCGTTTCGTTGCTGATTCGTGAATAAGTACTGCTGGTTGGTTTATGTGAGAGAAAAACACCGTTTCAGCTGAAAATTTACGATCGTTTACGACAAGCCATAGCTAAACAAACAGAGTCTCGAGTTTTCAAAGCATATCGCAACTCCTGGCATTAAAGACAAGAGCGAACTGTCAGCGCAACATGAGCAAGCGAGCAAGGATGATCGCAGTAAATTTGTTTCAATACTGGGTCTTACCATGTTACCGTTGCTAGAGGCAAATGAAGGATGAAGCTCCGAAAGAAGTTTATCTTCCCTCAGTCTTTCCAAGCCATCAAATGGACGTGGTTTTGCCTCACCTGTACTGGAAGGCTTCGAGCCAACACTTACGCGGTGGCAGTCCATCCTTATGTACATCTCTACTTCTCCGACTTTCCAAGACAATTGAAGAGCAACGAACTGCAATAACAAGATTTCACATCCTTTTGTTATTTAGGTCCAACTGAGTAAACTAGGAATGTTCAGAAACCAAGCAAGATATTCACTGAGACAAGCAATCACCTGTACAAGATGTTGAATGGACAAGGTTGGTCGACAACTTAGATAAGGCTTTTCCAAGTTAGGTATGGTTTGTCCGTCGACAGGAAGGAGAACAACATACAGCTGGAACTGCAAAACAGAAATATGGACAGTTCAGCAGACCTGGCACACTCCATTTACAGGTTTAGGTTAAGCTCGTCTGGACAGAACTACTGAAGCATGGATGGAAGACATATACAGTAGAGATATGCATCTGGTGTGACAAAAGACCAGCGATCCTTTCCTACTTTTTCCCTTGAAGAGCAGGGAGAAAAGGAAAAAGGCAAGCAACACTGCCGAAACAGGACATGCTGTTTTGTCCCTCCCTAGAGAGTCGTTTCCCAAACATGTTTTGGTTCATGTAACTGTGAGAAAATACTATATCCAAAAGAACATACACACAAAATGAAAACTACCTCTTTGTCCATTTCATCAGCAGTACGGAGGTGATCCACCAATTTTGCAATGCGTCCACTCCTTCCACTCCTGCCATTTGAACCAACACTGCCGTGTCGATTTTGGCTCCGTGTACCATTTTTCCCCCATGCAAGCATCTCTCCCCGCAACGGAGAGGTGGCTAAAATTTCTTTTCCACCAATTAATTCATCATTCTTCTCAAAGCTGTGGTCGATACTGCCAATGGTTCCAGCAGGCGATCCTTGTGGTCCAGACCTCTTTCTGCATCTTTTCTGTCTTAAATCTGGAGAATGGTCATCAGTAGAAGATTGCTCTCTGGTGGTCTCTTTGGAATTTTCTTCTTCTCTATCCTCCTCAGCAGAGCCAGTAGGGGCAATATCAGGGGTAATGGTTCTAACTCTCCCCCGGGTTCTCCTGTACTTCCTTGCAAAGGCAGTTGCAGTTGCTTTTGGCATGGAACGTTTCTTACCAATTGCATCGGACTGTCTTCGGAATGTTTCCTCGATGGCTTCTTGTATCTTTAATGAAAAAATAATGGTGTGTTGATATTGATGGTTAAATATAATATAAGAATATAATCAAAATGAGTTTTGTATAAACAAATACAGTTCTGGTATTGCCAAAGCAGATGAGGTCACCTTTTTATTCCGAACCCTCTCCTGCTCACTGAAAGCAAATTCCTGCAGTGTCAAGTATATTAGAAGCACTTCATGGAGAAGCTAAATGAGGATAAAAAAAACAATGGTAGGGCATATAGAGTTATAGACATATGACATCACCTCTTCCTCATACTTATCAATATCTGGATACAAGGCTGCAATCAGTGCATCATACTTAGGATCGTCCCTCAAAGAACGTCTGCTTGCACAATGAGTGCGACATGCTGGGCATTCGTTATTTCTGCAAAATCAGAGCATTATCTTTATTATCAGATAATAACTGTCATGGTCGGGCGCACGTATATTAGGCGCCGTCGGGCCCGTGACGTGCGCCGCGCCACGGAACGCGCAAGCCGCGCGATGGGCGCGTGCGCAGATGGCGCGCAGGGGCCGTTCACCGCAAGTGGCTAGGAGCGAAGGCGATCAAGAGTTTCAGTTTTAGTTCCTTAATTTTAGGAGTTTGTTTCCTTATTCGGTTGGGCCGATGGCCATATATGCTGTACTCGAGACAATTAAGAGGCAAGCAAGATTGTTATCTCCTAAACTCTCTTTCTCTCTCAACCGAACAAGCCTGCGGCGGAGGAGAAAACCTCGTCGGAGAAGACGGACCGAGGCTACGAACTCCGTAGCCGAGGGCCAGCTACCCGGGGGCTCAACGTCTTTGACAACCTGGTATCACGGTCACGTCGATCCTCTTCGCCAACAACCGCCGCGCCCCCAGCCCCACCACCAGCCGCCGCCGCCATCGCTGCACCTTCCCCCGCTTCGTCTGTTGCATCTTGCGCAGACACCATGGGAGATGACCTCAAAGCCTCCCTCGAGGCGCTCACCAAATCCGTCGCCCTAATGCAGAAATCGATCGAGGCTAACGCCCATGCGATCGCCGACCTCACCATCGCTGGTTCGTCCGCGTCCGGCGCGCGACCAGGATCCGGGGGCGAGCACCATCAAGACCGACCGCCCAAGCACTGGCAGACAGAATTCCCGCGCTACGACGGCAAGAGCGACCCGCTGGTATTCCTCAACCAGTGCGAGTCCTTCTTCACGCAGCAGCGGATCATGCCGGAAGAAAGGACGTGGATGGCGTCCTACAACCTCTAGGAGGGGTGCAACTGTGGTACATGCAAGTGCAAACGGACGAGGGGACGCCGCCGTGGCCGCGTTTCAAGGAGCTGCTTAATCTCCGCTTCGGGCCGCCGCTATGCTCGGATCCCCTATTCGATCTCGCGTCCTGTCGGCGCACGGGCATGGTGGAGGAATACCAGGATCGCTTCCAAGCCCTCCTACCCCGCGCCGGCCACCTCGATGAGGCGCAACGTGTGCAATTGTTTACGGGAGGTCTCCTCCCCCCGCTCAGTCTCCAAGGGCAGAACTAGAACCCACAATCTTTGGCGGCGGCCATGAGCCTCGCGTGCCAGATGGAGCTCTTGGAGCAGTACGACGCCTCCACGGCGAAGGCACCCGGTGAGGGAGTCTTGCTGACGCGGGCCGCGCCTGCCCCACAACCATGGTTAAGCCGGCGCCTCCACGGCGTCCGTCGAGGGTCGCCCGGTCAAGCGCTCAATCAAGCGGAACAGATGAACGCAGCGCCGCCTGGGCATGCTTTAACTCGCGATGAGAGGTACGATCGCGCCATAACAAGGTTTGCAAGCGCTTGTTCCTTTTGGACAATGTGGTGGACGCGGCGACGACGACGAAGGCGGCAAGGCTACATCGGACGCGAGGCTCGGTCTTCTCCCTCCACGCGATGGCGGCGTCCCCCATCGGCAACATGTTGCCGCCTTTCGTGTGTCGCCTACAGGCGTCGCCTCCCTCGTCACGCGCCGGGTCGACACCGGGTCACCCACAACTTCATCGGGAGGTCACGGGCGCATTTGGTTCGCCCATCGGCACCAGCTGCCACGGTGACGATCATGACGGTAGCTAACGGCGAAAAGGTCGCATGTCCGGCGTCTTCGCGTCGAGCTCTGTCTCCGTCGATGGCATGGCGTGGCATGGTGTCGCCGTATATCGGCGCCATCGGGCCCGTGGCGTCGCCGCGCATACACAAACAGCGCAAGCAGCGCGATAAGCGCGCTGCGGAAAGGGCGTTCACGCAAGTGGCTAGGAGCGAAAGCGATCAAGAGTTTCGATTTTAGTTCCTTAATTTTAGGAGTTTGTTTCCTTATTCGGTTGGGCGATGGCCATATATCTGTACTCGAGACAATTAAGAGGCAAGCAAGATTGTTATCTCCTAAACTCTCTTTCTCTCTCAACCGAACAAGCCTGCAGCGGAGGAGAAAACCTCGCCGGAGAAGACGGACCGAGGCTACGAACTCCGTAGCCGAGGGCCAGCTACCCGGGTTCAACGCCCTTCACAACCTGGGTATCACGGTAACGTCGATCCTCTTCGCCAACAACCGCCGTGCCCCCAGCCCCACCACCAGCCGCGGGCGTTGAGCCCCCGGGTAGCTGGCCCTCGGCTACGGAGTTCGTAGCCTCGGTCCGTCTTCTCCGGCAAGGTTTTCTCCTCCGCCGCAGGCTTGTTCGGTTGAGAGAGAAAGAGAGTTTAGGAGATAATAATCTTGCTTGCCTCTTAATTGTCTCGAGTACAAAGATATATGGCCATCGCCCAACCGAATAAGGAAACAAACTCCTAAAATTAAGGAACTAAAATTGAAACTCTTGATCGCCGCTCGCCTCCTAGCCACTTGCGGTGAACGGCCCTCACACGCCATCTGCATGCCATCATCAATGCTGCTTGCATCGTGGCGGCGGCGCGCCAAGACGCCACGGGCCCGACGGCGCCTCATATACGTGCGGCCGACCATGACATCCCGGGGGCTCAATGCCCTTGACAATAACACTCTATAAAATGATCTAGAGACAATTAAACTGTAAATACTAAAAGGGCGTACCCAGTGCAGAGAGCTCCCGCTCTGTGCGGGGTCTGGGGAAGGGTGTTAGTGGCAAGCCTTACCCTCGCCTGTGCAATGCGAGGAGACCGCGACTCGAACCCGGGACCTTCCGATCACAGGCGGTAAGACTCTACCGCTTGCACCAGGCCCGCCCTTCAAACTGTAAATACTACTTGTTAAAATTGATTGTGACACAATTTTAGAGAAAAATGGCGCCTGCCATCATACCCTAGTCGCATAGATTTGTCAATGCAGTCTCTACAGAACCGGTGCAAACATTCCATAACTGTCCTTGTCTTCCGGATAATGCCTGCAAAATAGAAGGATTAGACTCCATGGTATATCATCATCTGACATATGCAAATCAAGCAATGAAATTCTCAAACTTCGAACCTGTAAATTATTGTAGTTAGTAACAAACAGATTTCCTACTTGGATTTGCTAGGGTTTCATCAAATAGGTTCCTTAGCTTAAGATTAATACACAACGACTTAGCAAGTTTTGCAAAAAGAACAGGTGATAAACAGCATGATATGGCCTATAGGAAATAAAACCATCAGATGTGATACATGGTAGGTTTATACAAGAGAAATTAGAGATGAATTGACACCAGAACCAGAAGGGTTACAGCCAGTGGATGTATTAAAATAAGGACGACAAAGCCGACCACATCTAAGCAAACAGTTACATTTGGGGTAAACCATAAAAAAATGACATGTATATATATATATATATATGATACAAGGCAGCCATATTATCGTGCTACAATTAACTGGAAGATGAGTTTGTACTAGCAAACAGCTAGTGCAGACAATTCAATAGAGAAACACGGCTCCTTAATCTGAATGCTTTATTCATGCGAGAAAACTGAAGAATAACAATGTAATATCCAAATCCCTAAGCAAACTGAGAAAGGATTTTCTCACCTAGGCAGATAAGGCACTGAACCTCCTTCCGTATATCTGCTAATTTCACTAGCATAAACCTGAGAGAGACAGAACAGTTCAATATAAACTTCAGACCATGTAAAACATCAGATATTCCAAAGTCCACGAACCTGAATAACGATCTTGAAGAGCAGTGAGATGTAGGTAAATATAAAGAAATGTAGCATCTATTTTTGTTTTTTTGAATCCAAAAAGATATAGCTATTTTATGACACTACACAAAGATCATGTACTATTCAGCTTACCTTATAATCCGCACTATTCGGCTTGTTTTTTTAGCCGGAACAGTGTTTTCCTCTCACAACAATTCAGCCAGAACAGTGTTTTTCAGCCAATTCAGCCAAGTTTCAGCAAGCTGAACGGAGCCGTAAAGGGGGAGGAAGTGAAGGTCGATTTTTAACTAACTAAAAAAATAATATTGAGCATACTTACGTATTTAACTATCCAGGGGGTATGAATATATATTTCACCTTATGAATTTCTAAAGCATGTGCATTGCCGATTTGAAAGCATGATGTGTATTAGACTATCTCCAACAACATTACCCAAAATACAAGACCCATTTCACGTTTGGGTAGCACTACCGCTACAGGTAAAGGGTTCCGTACCTATTTTTGGTCTTCTCAACAACGAGATCTAAAAGAGAGCCCTTTCTGCAAATGAGTCTCCAGGAGAGAGGATACTCGTATTTGAGTTATGCCTTTGTTGTAACCTAAAATGGGTCTCGCATATAGATACTCTGTTGGAGGCTAATACATTAGCATCCGAAACCTATTTTGGGTTTGGATGCCCATATGGGACATCCATTGAGATAGAAAGTCAGAAACTGGCAACTCTTCCAACGTACAGCTAAAGCCACGGCAGGCGACAGAGCAGTTCAGAACTTGAGATAAAACATGAAAGCAGTGGTTGAAGCACAATAAGCGCACAACAAAAAAAAGGACAGCGCCAAGTTCCCAGCAGGCCGGCAATCTCAATCCCGGCTATGGCCTGCACCCTGACGGAAGCATGCATACAGGTATAGGCCATGGCATTCCTGCCTAGCTCGAATGCACATGACGCATCATCGGCCATGTTGGCTCGGCGATCGGTGCGTTTGCAATTTTGCATAGACGCGACCAGATCACACGAACTAAGCAAGTCACCGGTTCCGGTATGCACCGCCTCGAACGAGTCACTGGCAGGTCGGGTACGAGGAACCGGCGGGCGAGGAGCACGAGGCAATAGGCACCGCGACTCCGCAAGCAGGCCACAAGCATATCGTAGGCAACCAAAGGGGTCCACGGGATCGGAGAGATAGAGCGTGGAAGAGAGGCCAAGAGAAATTGAGGAAAGCTCACTCGTCGGTGCCGCCGTTGTCGCTCTGCGAGGACTCACTGTCGCCGTCGTCCGCGCCGCCGTCATCCTCCGCGTCCGAATCTGCCAAACCCATCGAAGCACACACAGCACAAGCCGCCTCTTAGCCATATACGCGCGGTGATACAGAACGCGACATGCACATCGTGGGGTGGGAACGAGATAGGACTATAGGAGGGAGGCCGGCCTCGATCTCGATGCCGTCGTCATCAAGCTCACTCACCGTCTTCGAGTCCGCCCTGTGGCTCCGGGTCCGGGTTAGTCAACCTCGGCCTGGCGGCGCGCCTGCTCGGCAACGGCGGGCGCCCTCCTCTTCCTTCAACTACGCCTCCGCCGGCGGCGGCATCCGAGGTGGGACTGGGAGCCGCCACGTCGCCGTGGGGTTTCGAAGGCGGCGATGGGAACCGGCGCTTCTTCAAGGGCATTCTGGCTTTCTGCCCAAAAGTTCTTGGCTCTCGGATTTCGGCGATGGGCGGTGGCGAGACGTCCGGTGCTTGGGAGGAAGGGGAGGCGGTGTGGGTCGACGGGACGGGGAGGATGAGCTGCCGAGGTGGCCAGGCCAGGTAGGTGCGGGAGCCTGGAACTGGAACTGGTAGGGGAGGCGGAGAGGAAGAGGAAAATAAAAAATAAAACAAGGGCTCGCGAGAGAGGAGGTGCTCGTTTTGTGGTGGCTTTGCAGGTTTGGGGCCTATCTGACTGCCTGACGGTGGGGGGCGGCACCTGCTGCTTCTCTGACTGCCGTCAAGCGACGCACGGGGCATGCAGGCGTCAAGGCCGCGGCCGCCTCGCCTCGCCTGCCGACGCTCCGCGTTCCTGTTATTCCGATTCTGCAACTGAGGAAGGTGAGGGCTGTGCCTGTATTTGCATACCGCTCGGCGCTCGATCCACGTCAGAACACACAGGTGTTTTGGTTTCAGATTGAGGCTGAGATTGCAGAACAACGCGGCATGCAAATCGCTGCTTCGTCCCCGGCTTTGTGCGTCTTGTTCGCCACACAGGCGTCAATGTTCTCGGCTCCCCTCTGCGGCGAGAGATCCGAGCCCGACCTCTGCTGCTCTGCTCTGCCGGCGGCCGGCGATGCCGGTGCCTGCCTGTCTGGAAGTTGCTGACAACCCTTGGTTCAATTATGGCTCCGCCTCTCAGTCTCTCACTGGGCGTGTCAGCCAGTAGGGTGTAATCAATCTTCTTCATTGTTCACGCTGCCAGCTCTCTGCTACCAACCTTTCCAGTCTCCAGCGGCCGAAGGACTGGCGGAGATCAGTCCAGGAAATCTACCGTGGACTCGCTTATAGTTGATCTCTGCTCGTCAGTTTGTAGAACACGCTGAAAGGAAACCATCCAAGATGAAAACAGGTTGTAGACTCTAATGTCTGCATATAGCAGGAGAGTCAAGAATTGGAAAATGGCCAATTTTGATACTGCATGACAACAAATCAAACGACTTGCAACGGTGGCCAGTGGAACTGGCATCTGAGCAAGCTACCGATATATACTAGCAAAGTAAGAAGACCGTCCCTGTTCGCTTCTCTTATAATCCGTACTGTACTTTTTAACTTCTTTTTTTAGCCGGAACAGTGTTTTTCTCTCACAACAAATCATTCGGAACAGTATTTTTGGCTTGTTTTTTCAGCAAAGCGAACGGGCAGAAGGTCCACTAAAAGGACAATCAAACCAAGGGTGTTCCCATGATTTAGGTGTAGTCTTGTACATGTCAATTGCACTAAGCTATAAAATATTCCTCTTAGTTCCTGAAACGCTAGGCATGCAAAAGAATGTTTCAGAAGATGCAGCACTAAGATATGTTCATCGGTTATTCACACAACTCTACTCCTAACAACAGTGGTTATGTTGGTGTAGAGGTTACAAGCCTCAATTCAACTATTCAGTTTTTTTTATTAATGATGATGATGAGAACTCTTCAGTTCATTAGGCTACAAATTAATTGTCCACGGATGCAGGAGGGAAGAGTAGCTAGCTCTTCGGGAGAAAAGAAAACGCACGAGGCTCTGAGCAAGAATCCAAATCCTAGAAACTTCTGTTAAGAGGTCATAAACCAGAAAAAAAAATTGATAGAGCAACCCACATATCAATGGCGCAGGAAAATATCAAGCTCTTGCATCACACGCTGTCAACGGAGAACCCGAAGAGGCCAGCGTGAGCTCGAGGGACTAGCTAGCATGATACGTGACACGGCCTTGGTGGCTACGCGAAGCATTACAACATTGCTAAGGATCGTGAATTTTTGCTGCTCCTGCTACTCGCCACCACAGCTACGCCATCCAACTAGAACAGTCACCAGAGCGGAAACATGCACACCATCGAATGCCCGACTCCACGCACGCTCAATGCTTCTAGTAAGCCATACCTTAAAATACTGTTCACTGATTTTTTACAAGAGAAAAACACTGTACCACGTCTGGTAAGCCAAGCTGATAAGTTCAAGCAAGCATGGCCATGCATATCTCTTTTGCTGACAGTGCTAGCTGATGATCTGCTCGCGGACCCATGACCAGAGGTCATGATCAACACTTTCCATCATGGCACACGTTGTTCTACCACTCTCCCCTCATCCCACCGGATCGCCTTGATGGCCACGGGAGACAATCTGAGAGAGGTCGGTCGGAGAGGGTGAGGGATACAGGGGAGCGGGAGACTCATCTATGCCACCAACGCCAGCGCTCAGGCCTCAGGGTCGACTCACTGTCGGTGTCGACTTCGTATCCTCGCACCCACCTGCTCGTCGTCGGGATCTGCGAAACCTCTCAGACATCCAGGACCCATGGAATCGATGTCGAAGATGACGTGTGTGGGTGGAGAGGCAGAGGCGCTGCCGCGTCGTTCATCGGCGTGCCCTTATACGTCAAGTTTATGATAAGTGATTTGTAGAAAATGATTGGCTTTGGTTGAGTTTGAAGACTAACTATTACATGAGTGTGTATACAACATGTCTCTTGGTTATGTTGTTGTGCAGTTGTGGAGCACAGAGACATTCGACGGACATGGAGAAGGTCAAATAGAGATGTATCGTGTCAATAAACTGAGAGCGGTGAAGGACGGACATGAGACTTGGACCAAGGGACCAAGATGGCCGTATGACTGACCGTAGTGGCTGACACTTGGGGACATCAACAAGCAAGAGAACATGCAGAGGAGTAGACCATGTTGACCAAGTCAAAATGGTGGTTGACCAAGTCAAGCGGAGGCGCAAGAGGACTTAGTAATCGGGTGGTTTAGGACGACGGTGACACGTGTCGAGCGGGTGGAGGAGGCGTAGCGGATACGCTTCTTCAAGAGGTTTGGTGGTTTGGGCCTCAAAACCACCACCCCGGATGGTTTTCTGGTATGGGCCTCAAACCCGGTTGGAGTTCCGACGGGAACTGGAGGCGGCACGTGGCGTCATCGCGAAACTTGCGTCGAGGCGAAGCAAAGTCGTGAAGAGCTCGTGACCGTCGGATGCCTACATCTCAAGATGGGCTATTTTGCCCCTTGGGTGAAGTGGTTCAGCCTAAATATCTAAGTGCGTGTTGGAAATGTGTAATAGCTCTACAAATAAGATAGAGGTTGCCCCCAACCAGCCATCTCTTCCGGTTTAGTTTTCATGCATCTAGGTGTTCATTCTTTGTAGTAGCCAGTTGTAGTTTCCAACAGAGAGAGATCCACAGTGAGAGAGATTGAAACATCTGTCTGTGCAACTTGGCAAAGAGCCTGACCTCATTCAAGAATGGAGAAAACAACCATTCCTCTGAATTTTGAGTTTATCTAGTTATTTTGCTGTTTTTCTTTTTTTTGGATTTTGGGAGAATTTTCTTGGGTAACTAGTGGCCATGCATGTGCGTCATCTGGAAAAAATACATGCCTTAGGAAAATAAGAACTCTTACCCTGATAAAAAAAATTGATACAACATGTCAGTACAATTCTTTACATAACTTGATTTGAAAAATAGAGATGCAACCGCACCAATCCAAACTTGTGTCTGATTGTTAATTGTTACAACATATCTCATCTCATGCTACAAAGTCTCCAGAAATATTAACTCATCTTTCTACAAAACTAAAGATTTGAATGTGTACATGTGCTTGATGTATGGTAGTTTTACTGAAAATGATGCAGCCTGCAATACAATACAACGAAAAAAAATTAAGAAAAATAAAAAACAAGGGGCAACAAGGGCTGATCTGCTCCTCTTACTGATAATTGCTTCAACAAATCATTCCAATGTACCATGATAGAACCTTCAGTCACTACAAAAAGATTGAACAAAAGAATATAAAATCAAAGACCATACGAAAAAACTTTAATCTTTTCATGAGTAATAACTAAGAAAAGAAGAGATCCCTTTAGCAACCTGTAGCTCATCTTTTCATAGTACCTGTAGCAACCTGAATGGTTAGTGTGCTAAAAAAACTTAGAATTGATCCTTATTTCCACGGGACTAAATAGAGATCTTTACCAAGCAGAATCATTAAACCAATTTATGTCGATGCATGAACAAATTTATCACATTGTGAAATCATAACAGGTTAATGGTGAAATACAAACTTATGAAAATAATGCATAACTTTTGATCCCAAGAAAATTACGCACAACAAATACAAATCACATTCACTAGTAGGAATATTCACTTCTACGACGATCAGCTTTCGTCACTGAATGAGCCAAATTTATCATAATTTCAGTTTTATGACGAATTTATGACGAAAATTGGTTCGTCATAGAAGTCGCGTCACACTTGAAATTCTATGACGGTTTTCATAAAACGTCATAGAAGTGGCTTGATCTGTGACGAAAACAGAACGTCATAGAACTGTTTTGGCATGCGTGGCGGGGGGCTGCTACGCTGGTGGGTACATGCTATAGCCGGTTGCATTGGAGATGGTTCGGGTACGTGTCACCTTCTTATTGCACAATGTGGCCATCTCTAGTTCTTGCATGTTTCAGGTTCTTACTCGACCACGTGTCGTGTTTCTGTTGTTCCACATGTCAGTTTTCTATGGGCACACGTGTCGTGTTGCGATTGGATCACGTGTCACTTCTTCGTTGGGCCATGTGGCGTATTTTTATTGGTCCACGTGGCCGTTTCTTATTCGACCACACGTCAAGGCATTGTCCGTCCACGTTTCGCATTTTTATTCGGCCACGTGTCTTGACGACATCCTTCTACGTGTCGGATTTTTAATAGCCCACGTGTCATGCTCTGGCAATGTCACTTGTCATGCACTGGTTACTGCACGTGTCGTATTTTTATTTGATCGCGTGGCCTGTTCTGGTTCTACCGTGTGGAGTGCAATCAATTCGTCATAGAAGTAATTCGAGATCATCACTACTGCATAGGTTAACTACATAACAATTTAGCATGGCAATCAAATAACCACAATTAATATTTCACACGTCAGTAGCGAACCACTGATAGAGTATCACAACATC